TAGAGTGGGGGGCTGGGAGGGAGGAGCAGGGTAAGGAGAGTGGGGGGCTGGGAGGGAGGAGCAGGGTAAGGAGAGTGGGGAGCTGGGAGGAGGTGGGAGTAGGAGAGTGGGGCTGGGAGGAGGAGCAGGAGTAAGAGAGTGGGAGGAGGAGCAGGAGTAGAGAGTGGAGGCTGGGAGGAGAACTTGAGGTTAGGAGGAGTAGAGAGCTGGGAGGAGGAGCAGGAGTTAGGAGAGTGAGAGCTGGGAGGGAGGAGCAGGAGTTAGGAAAGTAGAGGCACAGGAGGAGGAGCAAGTGGAAAGTGGGGGGAGCTGGGAGGGAGGAGCAGAGGTAGAGAGTGGGAGCTAGGAGGGAGGAGCAGGAGTAGGAAGTGAGAGCTGGGAGGGAGGAGCAGGGTAAGGAGAGTGGGGGCTACAGAGGGAGGGACAGGGTTAGGAGAGTAGAGAGCTGGGGAGAGGAGCAGGGTAGGAAGTGGAGCTGGGAGGAGAGCAGGAGTAAGGAGATTAGAGCTGGGAGGGAGAGCAAGGAAGGAGAGTGGGGAGCTGGGAGGGAGGAGCAGGAGTAGGAGAAGTAGAGGTGGGAGGAACCTTGGGTAAGAGAGTGGGGGGCTGGGAGGGAGAAGCAGGGTAAGGAGAGTGGGGGTGGGAGGAGAAGCAGGAGTAAGAGAGAGTGGGGGTGAGGGGAGAGCAGGAGTAAGAGAGAGTGGGGAAGTAGGGGAAGAGCAGGAGTAGGAAGAGTGGGGTAGGAGCAGGGTAAGGAGAGTGGGGGGCTGGGGCGGAGGAGCAGGGTAAGGAGAGTGGGGGGCGAGGAGCAGGGTAAGGAGAGTGGAGGGCAGATTTATTCAAAGGACAGAGGGAAGGCGACAGAGAGAGGGCGGGCAGAGTAAAAAGACTGTGAGCAGGTTTGGGAGGGGAGATTGTAGGGAAAAATCCCTGCATCATAATATTTACACAATTACCATGACAACGGAGCCTATTACAGGAAGAAGCCTAAATCACCAACACTGACATTAACCCCTCGTAGTCACAGTATATAATGAGACAAGGGCATCATTAACCCCTCGTAGTCACAGTATATAATGAGACAAGGACATCATTAACCCCTCGTAGTCACAGTGTATAATGAGACAAGGACATCATTAACCCCTCGTAGTCACAGTGTATAATGAGACAAGGACATCATTAACCCCTCGTAGCCACAGGATTATAATGAGACACGGACATCATTAACCCCTCGTATTCTATAATGAGACAAGGACATCATTAACCCCTCGTAGCCACAGGATATAATGAGACAAGGACATCATTAACCCCTCGTAGCCACAGGATATATTGAGACACGGACATCATTAACCCCTCGTAGCCACAGGATATAATGAGACACGGACATCATTAACCCCTCGTAGCCACAGGATATAATGAGACACGGACATCATTAACCCCTCATAGCCACAGGGTATAATGAGACAAGGACATCATTAACCCCTCGTAGTATACAATGAGACAAGGATATCATTAATCCCTCAGTCACAGTATATAATGAGACAAGGATATCATTAACCCCTCATAGTCACAGTATATAATGAGACAAGGACATCATTAACCCCTCGTAGTCACAGTATATGAGACACGGATAGTATACAATGAGACAAGGATATCATTAATCCCTCAGTCACAGTATATAATGAGACAAGGATATCATTAACCCCTCATAGTCACAGTATATAATGAGACAAGGACATCATTAACCCCTCGTAGTCACAGTATATAATGAGACACAGACATCATTAACCCCTCGTAGCCACAGTATATAATGAGACACAGACATCATTAACCCCTCGTAGCCACAGTATATAATGAGACAAGGACACCATTAACCTCTCATAGCCACAGTATATAATGAGACAAGAGCATCATTAACCCCTCTTAGCCACAATATATAAAAGGACAAGGACATTACTACCCTCCCCTCCCCCCCCCCGTGGCTCAATATAATCTCTTTCTCAGTCTTACATATTGCTGGTTACCAGCCTATCCGTGAATAAAGAGGTCATTTAAAAAAGCCCCAGCGAGTGAAACATACCACCCACATAGGTTCAGATAATATTACGGCCATCTATCTATAGAAATTATATAAATATACAGTTATTTAGTACAATACATATTTATAACCCAGGACAGAAACCAGACTCCAGGTCATATTAACCCCTGCTTTATCCTGACACACTATAACTCCATGAGAAGGTCAGACACTCAGTATTACTCTATACCAGGGCAGAGAGGAATGCTGGGAATCTGCACAGCACGCAGCAGGAAAGGGGCCGTGTGAACCCTTCTCGCCCCACAAGTGGTGGCACAAGCCATACAAGTGCTCATTATCTGCCGAGCAGCTGTGCCATCACTCTCCAGTGTCCTTCATGGAGAAATAGCACAAAGAAATAGCAGAGCGGGGGGCATACCTGCTAGACTTTACTTATACAACAGAGGGCCACTTCCAATATCAAACAAAATTACAATGATGCCAGCCCTCCAAGCTATGCTAGATACTGCCATTACCTAGAGATTCCAATAGGGTCACAGCCTCCACATAAACTCCAATACGATGTCAGGCCCTACTTGCCCACAGAGCCCTGTGCTAGATTAGAACATGACTTCTCCAAGACACCCTAGTACAATGCCAGCCCCCCCACCTCCCCGAAAATCCACTATAATGCTAGAACATGACACATCCTAAAGATACCAACACTATGCCACGACCCCAAGAAACCCCTACACTATGCCACGATCCCAAGAAATCCCTACACTATGCCCCAGCTCCAAGAAACCCCTACACTATGCCACGACCCCAAGAAACCCCTACACTATGCCACGACCCCAAGAAACCCCTACACTATGCCCCAGCTCCAAGAAACCCCTACACTATGCCACGACCCCAAGAAACCCCTACACTATGCCCCAGCTCCAAGAAACCCCTACACTACCCCTACACTATGCCCCACCCCCAAGAAACCCCTACACTATGCCC